CTCCCAACGATTCAGTGATACAGAGTTATACTGTATTTAATATATAAGGCATGGATAGTGTAATGTACAGTATATACAGAATATATGACATATAGAAAATATATGTGATAACAGAATAACATATAAATGTTTTGTTAGCAGAGCTTAAAAGCAAATCAATTTCTAAACTGACATAAAGTCTAGCGATTTATGGGAGAAATAGAGGATCATATAATTTTATATATAGTGTAATATATAGTTTGTTTTGCCATTATTTTGTGTTACATTTACTAAATGTTTTAGAAAATGTATGAAATTATTCATACACTATATAAATATAAAATATATAGAAAATGTTATAACAAAAAATACAATATTAAAATTGATTATTATATATAAGAATTTTTAATTAAAATCATTAACAGTATTAAAGTGCTGTCAAAAGGCTCTTAAAATGAGTTAATTATATTAATTAAGTGTAGAAAACATATTAATCCGATTGCAAACGAACCGAACGACTCGTTTAGTATTAAAAGTATTAACGAATTATAAGAGTTGTGTGAATAACGGCATGAAATCATTGAATTTGATTGAAAACTCAATGTATTTATTAATATATTGTAGACTAAACCCTATGTTATATAAATATAAAATTAGACTCTCTTTCTCTCTCTCTCTCTCTCTCTCCTTATGTATTGAGATTAAAGAATTTGTTTTGGTATACAAATAATGTTTGGTATTTATTTACAATTCAAGATATTTTGTTATTTCCCTTATTTTAGGCATTTTACAATAAAATGTTATTATAATTTTAGTCTAGATTAAATTACTTTTATTTTATTTTATTTCCTGTATGGTTAGATATAAAGTCCATTTATGTTTTGTAATAATTATTTAGTGGTTATAAGTACTTTTTAGTTCTAGCATTATTATTTAATAAGCATTTAATGCTGTAACAGTCCATTAAAACTATAGCATTAATACATTAATTACAACAAGTTTACTGAACAATTCAGATATATATTTAGAAAAATAATTGAAACATAAATTATTACGTTTGATAATAAATAATAAAACATGGTTTGAAACCTGTCTCTACATTATATTATAAATATAAATATATTTGCAATCAGAATATGAGTGGAGAATATTCTTTACAAAGACCTGCTCTCGAGTTACGACAAGTAGTTTGAAGTATCGGTTTGTAATCAAATCATAGCATATAATAATAAAATCAATGCCAAAATAGGCACGATTCAAATGCCAATTTAATGATATCGATAACAAATACGCTATAAAAACATATTTAGTGGCCAATGGTTTTGTAAGAAAACAATTTTGCTTTGAGAGCCACAGACTATTTCCAGTCAACCTTTAACTGTATTATGTATTTCACATGCATTTCAATGCTTTTATAGACACAAAGAATTTGTTTTGAAGATAAACCGGATTTAATTTTTTGTTGAGAAGAATATATATAAATATAAAGTATATATACAAAGAATATTGCAAAATATATTGTATATAAAGATTTATTTATTTAAAAACGTCAATACATTAAGTTGTTTGTTATATACCTTTCAACAAAATCCAATCTAATATACAGAATATATATAAATATATTATATTTTTGAAAATCATTTCGAGGGCTCTCTCTCTCTCTCTCTCTCTCTCTCTCTCTCTCTCGACGATGTAATTGATTGCAGACATGGATATAATGGAAAGATTTTATACAATAAAAAGCAAAAATATATGTAATATTTTTATTTATAACTCACAGGAATATCTATATAGGAGTATAAGATGTAGATATATATACGAAATATTTGTTATAAAATATATATAATATTTGAATCGATTTTTGTGTTAACAAACTAAAAATAGAAGAGCGACTAAAACGCTGTGTATATTATAACATAGTTTTATATGCGATATAACACACAAACTCATTGAAAACAGAGTATTCATTATAACCTTTTTCTCGTTTCAAACATACATTTTGTATACATTTTTGATGATGAGATGCATTCAGAATAGTTGAGCGAATGAGAGAATGAATGAAAGAGAGAGAGAGAGAGAGAGAGAGAGAGCCCTCGAAATGATTTTCAAAAATATAATATATTTATATATATTCTGTATATTAGATTGGATTTTGTTGAAAGGTATATAACAAAAACTTAATGTATATATTGTAAAATGCCTAAAATAAGGGAAATAACAAAATATCTTGAATTGTAAATAAATACCAAACATTATTTGTATACCAAAACAAATTCTTTAATCTCAATACATAAGGAGAGAGAGAGAGAGAGAGTTAATGACAAACTGCGTTATCAATATATAACCAGTAATTGAGAGGAGAATATAATATAATAAATTAATTTCCGATTCTATACACAAATATGTTATACAAATATTTCAAAAAATACAGTTAATATCATATGTTATTAATATATATTACATAATCAACTAAAACACAGACTCTAATGGATCTTATTATTGTTATATTAATACTAGACATACATATAAAGAATTTAATTAAGTTTGCAAAATGTTTAGTGCCTTTTCTATCAGTTTAATGATTACAATACACACACTGTATACAGAATACCTAAAGAATATATCGTACAATTCAATAGTAAATATATTTTACGGCTATGTATACGATAGTATATACCAGAATATTCTGTATAAAATTAAACTATATATTGGAAAAAGAATTAAATTAAACTATATAACTTTATATATAATATAATATAAATGGTGTGTATGTTTTGAATTATGATAAACAGCACCAAAAGGTTTTATTTATACTTTTTTCTCTCTCTCAAAACAGCTCTCATGTGAGCGCCGATAGTGTATAACACATACCGTTAGGCAATAGCTATAGTGTAATAGAAAAATATATTTTTGCCTAAAAATTCTTTGGCGAAGCGAACAGATTGTAATCGATTTCGACTATAAATCTGGCGATCGATTACTTAACTTTAAAAGCATGTATATATGACTTATACCTACTATACTGTACTGTTTTCAATGTTTTATATAGCATAGTATATACGGTATATTATATTTATTATATAGAAACATAAGTTATACCGAATATATTCAATGAAATGCTCTTCAAATTCCGGCTCTAAAGCCATCGAATTATACGAGAAAAAAATAATTCTGTGTTATTTCGTATGTATTCACTGAACATTTTCTATTAAAATACACAGAATTTGCTTTAAAAATATTTGTGTGATTGAGTGAATGAGTGTGGAGTGAGTTATGCACAAACTGAGAGAGAGAGAGAGAGAGAGAGAGAGAGAGAGAGAGCCCTCGAAATGATTTTCAAAAATATAATATATTTATATATATTCTGTATATTAGATTGGATTTAGCCAAAGAATTTTTAGGCAAAAATATATTTTTCTATTACACTATAGCTATTGCCTAACGGTATGTGTTATACACTATCGGCGCTCACATGAGAGCTGTTTTGAGAGAGAGAGAGAGAGAGAGAGAGAGAACTTTAAATAAAAATATTTTAACAAAAAAAATTCTGTAAAATCAATTTATTTTTCAACAAAAAATTATTTATTATGCCTTCAATTCTGCACAGAATTTAAGTGCACTTTATATACGCTATATATTTAGTCCCGGATTTAATATTAGTTATTTGGTCTCTCATTAATATTCATTTCTATTACAAACCAAATACACAAACTTTAAATAAATTCCCATTTTATGCCACTATCTCTCCGACCAAATGAACACTACTTAATCCCACTCTCAGTCTCTCTCTCTCTCTCTCTCTCTCTCTCTCTCGATTAAAAACTATTTATTTATTTTTGCAAAAAATAATTTCAAATTAAAATCAAAACAAAAATATTTTTAAATAAAATATCTCTCTCTCTCTCTCTCTCTCTCTCTCTCTCTCATCGCTCATTCAGTCACTATTTTTTAATGACTTACACTTTTAGCCGCACAATACAAATGTCATTCATTTTCGCATTCAAAATGCTTTTAATCAAAATTTTCATTTATTAACTCCTATTCTCAACACAAGAGGCAAAGAATTTGCCGCAAAAAAGAAGAGAAGTTTTTGAATAATTGTCACGAAAAATGAATGAAAAGAGAGGATTGAAAAATGTTTTTCAATATTAAATAATAAGAAAAATATTGTGAAAGAAAAGAGAGTGAAGAGTGAGAGTCGAGAAGAAAGTAAAGCCAAGAATTGATTTGAATTGACTTGTATTTCATATGAAAATCTTTACCCAAAAAATATTTTAATAATGTTTGAAATACAAGTCCGTGTGTTTGAGAGACGGGATGAGAGAGAGAGAGAGAGAGAGAGAGAGAGAGAGAGAGAGAGAGAGAGAGNGTAGTGTTCATTTGGTCGGAGAGAGAGAGAAAGAGAGAGAGAGAGAGAGAGATTTTATTGCATAAAATTATTGATTTATCGGAAAGACAACAACACAAACACAAAAGCGCTGATTATTTTCTCTCTGCAAAAATTTTGTCTAAAAAAGTCAACCAAAAAAATAGTCGTCGAAAAAATGCGATGATTTGAATCAAAAACAGAGAGAAACCGAAAGAAGAGAAAAAGCAATAAAAAGCAAAAAATAAAATGAAATCTAAATTTAATTCAAAACAGAGGACAGAGAAAGAAAATATTCAAATGACTGACACTTTAAGTAGACCTGAAATACAATGAAAAAATCACCAAAAAATATTTTGCACAAAATTTTACGCAAAATGAATTGACAACTGAATAATAAATTTCTCGTTTTCTGTTTTGAAAATACAAAAAACAAAACAAATGACAACAAAAACACATTACATAATAACCAGAGAAATCATTACTAAACCCATCATTATATAAAAACTATTGATATTTCATTCAAACCATAAAAAGCAACACTTATTCAATAGTAATTTATTTGGTAATAAAACAAAACACATAATAGTTATCAATTTATAATACAATTTTAAAAATATATAAACTATTTATATAAAAATAAATGTCAAAAATACTAATAAAATATTTTACTAATGCCGTAACGGATGAAAAAGCCGAGACAACTGCACAGCACCTGCAGTGCCAGCAAAACACAAGTCACCCGTTTCTCATGCATTGGTCCCAATTTGACTAGAATTAGGTTTATTATCGTTAAGTTAGAGCACTCGTAGGTGTCAGCGGTGGCCGACCCATTCACAGCCCCTATAGGCTTGTATTGCACTAATCGTAATATACGGAGTATTTTAATGAATAGACGACCCAATGGTTTCGTTTCGCTGGTCTTTAGTCGAAAAGTGGACACAAAAATGGTGTCTGTTTTCGGATCGTATCTAAAATTAGAATCAAAAATAAAATTAATTAATTAAAATAAAAAGCAATAGTTTTAAATAAATTGTTAACTAATTAAACAATTCATTGAGTATTAGACGTGATACGGGACAGAAGGCACGCGTGTACTCACTTCGGGAGCCGATGACGGGGACAGTCGACAAATTTAAACAATTGCGGACACGAGTAGAGAAAGTTAAACACTTGTGGTATGAAAAACAAGAGCATAGTCTTTGAGAAGTGGCCGAGAATGCCCACCACAGCGAACGTCATGCCCGCGAAATAGCAATACGTGTCGCCGACGAACACCCGCGAGGGGTACCAGTTATGGTAGAGTAGGGCTGCGGTGACCGACACGAACGGCACCATAAAGTACAGCGAAAAGAGATGGCACTGCCATTGATCCGACGCCACCAACTCGACCACGTTGTACGTGATAATGGACAGCGCGATCACCAGCCCCTGTCCGGCCTCAATGCCGTTAATGCCGGCCACGATATTGATAGCGTTGGTGCAAAACACGGCTAACATTCCCATATAGATGTAGTAAAGCGGACCCAACCATAGGCTGTAGCCGAGGGCCGCGCGGAACGGCTTCGGCACCACAATTGTCGTGTTATTATAGGTCACGCCGTAGACCATCAGCAGAGGCAGCGTTGCGATCGTCGGCAACAGTAGTTTCGTACGCCATCGGAGGTCCAGCACGTCGTCCGCGAAGCCCAAGAATATCATACAACAGATGGACAGTAAGGCACAGATGAATTGCGCGAACTATTATCATCATCAAAATGGTATTAGACATCATCTGATTGGACAGTAAATTATTGGTTACAAATAATACGCTACCACTTCGTGCCGGAAGTCCTCGAGACTGAACAGCCATTCGTAGCCGAGGGGTCGGCCGCCGGTGGCGAACGGCACCGGAATAAAGAGGAACATCACCACAAGGTATACACAGCCGGCGATCACGCCCTGAGATTCGGCCCTAAAGAGTGCGGACACACCAACACATATATCAGTGATAATGGGATCAATTGCGCGGATCAGCTGTTAATCTGTGGGCCAAAAAACTACTCACACTTTGATGTCTTTGTTTTGTTTGCAGAGATCGACGCCAAAGAGGTTGGCTTTGATGAAGAGGTGCCGCACTTGCGGTATGACTGTATACGTGCCGTAATAGGCCATCGCAGACATCACCAAATTGATCACTATCTGTAACAATACGTCCATCACTTGGTCTTACAGTCCGTACGGCAAACAAATCATATGTTTTCTTATGAATCGGTTTTCAAAACATTTGAAATCAAAAAAAAAACTTATAAAACAAATCATCACAACAGAGTCAGAGAGTGTGTCCGCGCATGCGTTAGGACTCGAGCTCTGTGTTGATCACTATTTTGGACCTAAACTCAAGTTCATTATAAACGAATCGCTCGAGACTTTCAAACTCGAGCCCCAATCGTAACGTTAATCACACGTTTTGATTACAAATTGTCACTAATTTTTTAGTACCATTTGATTGACTCGAAGCTCGAGCTGTGAAACTCAATGCGAGTGTTAGTCAACTGTTCATAAACAACAGTAAACTCGACGCGTGAGTGAACGTTGAGATCATTTATAGGGGGAGTCATCGCTTGTCACACACGTAAAGGGCGTTCAATAGGGGAGTGGAAAATACCGGCAAACGTAACGCCATATGCGATAAATGAAAAGGTAAGTGTAAACTAATAGACGATCGCTGATTGGCTCAACAGATTGGGCGCTAACACTGTGTGGCAATAATTGTGAGCATTATTTTAGGCGCAAAACTCTATCACACGTTCAGTACTGTGCGAGTCGTCTAACCCTACACTACATCATCGCTATTGTCTTCCGCGACAACTATTGTCTTAATTATCACTCGAATTGATCCGTAAAGACAAAGACTATCAGACATAATGTCCGGCAGAGGAAAAGGCGGTAAAGTGAAGGCTAAGTCAAAGTCGAGGTCGTCGAGAGCGGGCCTCCAGTTCCCCGTCGGACGCATTCATCGACTCCTTCGCAAAGGTATTGTTCAAAACGCTTAACCATTGAATGCACGGATCAATTGAATTGTCTGACACTAACCACACGTGCATCTGATCTCATGGTAACCATAGGTAACTTCGCTGAGCGCGTGGGCGGCGGCGCACCCGTGTATTTGGCGGCGGTGTTGGAGTACTTGGCGGCCGAAGTGCTTGAGTTGGCCGGCAATGCCGCGCGAGATAACAAGAAGTCGCGTATAGTTCCGCGTCATCTGCAGCTCGCGGTGAGGAATGACGAAGAGTTGAACAAACTGTTGGCCGGAGTGACCATAAGTCAGGGCGGAGTCCTTCCCAACATTCACTCGGTTTTGTTGCCCAAGAAGTCCGAAAGCGGCGGCGGATCCAAGTCTAAGGCCAGCCAAGAGTTGTAGACACACTACCATATGGTGTGTCCACTCGTTCTTCCGATGGCCACGAGTTTCATGTGTTTTGATTTATGATTATTTTTCTAACCATTGATTGATTGTCTAATTATTTCTTGTATTCATTTATTTGTGATTTCATTTCTCTCTGTATTTGATTTTAAACATTAGTTTTTGTATTACTTCTGAATTATTTGTTTCATTCACTAATTGTATTCGTTTTACTGATTATTACCACTAATTGTCTCTCATTTTAATGTTTGAATAAAATATTTTAACAACAATTGAATTATGTTTAACTATTTTGATGAATATAATTGTAAGTAAGCATTGAATGCACTACAGTTAGCACTACAGATAGCAATCCATAATTTATGGCTAAACTTTTGACTTTATGGCAACTAAAATATTGTTGTAATTTTTGAAAATTGCGAGACTAGTGTCAAACAAGTTACTTATAACTTATGATAATCCATGTCCTCTCGGGTCAACACTTTCGGACAAAATCGTAGTCCGATTGGCTGACTGTGTGTCCCTCGTGTCACATGAAGTTCTCCATATGTGTGGCGAGCGGTCGACCCATAATGGACTCAACCCAACAGTGGACGTGTGGCCGATGCGGACATCACGCCTATAAAGCAGATTTGGTTACGTTTAACAACTGTCCGCTCTGTCATCAAAGTGTCCAACAGAAGCGCACCTAATGTTGGAACCAATGTCTGGAACCACTAAATTAGTGCAAAACAGGAAATTTTTAATCATTTTTAAAGTTTTGACGAAAATAAAATGTTAAATATTCTGCATTATTTTACAACAATTGTTATTTCGGGCGATATTTTTAAAAATGTTTGGTTTTTAAAGCAATTTCTCTGTTTGTTTGCAGATATTATTGGTTTTATGTGAAATGCAAACAATTATATTACCGATAATTTTTGATACAATTTTGGTTTTATGACAAATTTTATTGTTATTTTGACTATATTTTCGGTTTTTGTGAACAATTTTACCGCTATTTAGCCATTGATTTAACATTATCTCATTGTTTTCACCGATTCTATCGTGTTTTGTAACAATTAGTGTCTGTTCTCCAACTGATTCTGTCGTGTTTTTATCTGGGCCTTAGAATGTGATGCCTGGGCCTTAGAATGTGATGCCTGGGCCTTAGAATGTGATGCCTGGGCCTTAGAATGTGATGCCTGGGCCTTAG